AAATAAATAAATAAATAAATAAATAAATAAATAAATAAATAAATAAATAAATGATAAAAGGCTCTAAATCACCTCTTGTCAGTTTGCTGCTCAAAGCTACGGTAAGTCTATGTTCCAGGAGTTAGGCATTTTAAATCATACCAATATTATGGGCATAAACTATATAAATGTAAGCATGCATATAAAATGGACAGTATTTGAGAGCTGGACTAAAGTACACTTCTGCATAAGATTAAACATAAAAAAGTTTGTCTGAGATGCAGAAAGACAACCTGTGCTTTACATGGGGATGAGCTATATGTTCTGATCACTTCTGGAAAACAGTGAAAAATATTTTCACAGATAGAATAAAAGTCTTTCTTGTGTGTTGTTACTATTAATTAGTTTATCCCTAAACTCTGCATAGAATTGAATGTAAAAATAGCTTTGAAGTAGTAAAATAATTGCAAAAAAATACCAGCAGTATATTAAATGTGTTCTTTGGGACTATTTTGATCCTTTTGCAAGATAACCGTAGTTTGGAGAAAGGTAAAGAATAGCTCTATTACTAAGTCAACAAAGAGAATGTAACTGGTTTGAAGGGGAGTCAAAATGTCATTACCTTCTTTCAACTTGCATTCAGAGTTTATACTGGCAGACCGTCAACAGAAACCATACTGTTAAAAGGAACATGGACAATTTGCTGCTTTAGGCTTGTAATTGCCGTAGAAAACTTCCTTGCTGCTGTTGCATCCGCTAAGTGTTCATCTCCGTGGTTTTGCCATTAGGAGCCATATCTGAGGACATGTATTTTGATAACAAATTATCACCGCGCTCCAACATTAGTTGATCGAAGACTGTAGATAAGTGCAAGAATGAAAGTGTAAAAATCAGTTTTCTCCAATGGTGGGTTTCCAGTTTTTTTTTTTACTACTGGACCGCTTGTGCGTGTATGCCACACCGCTACTACCGGTTTGCCCGATCTGGGCCGAACCAGGAGCAACCCACCCTGGTTTTCTCCCTCTATTTCCTTCTAACCATTTTGCTTTGCAAGCCATTTTATGAAAATTTGTTATTTAGAGCAAATTCAAAATCAGATGAAATAAGTCTTTGGTTTCTTTGGAAGTATAAATAATGAGTTAAGTATAAACCTGCTTTCTTGAGGTCCTGCTCATTTGTTTTAATAATAATAATTATATCTACATATATATGTGTACATGTGTGTATATATATATCCATACACACACACACACACACACCACCCAACTCCCAGCAACTCTGGGTGGTTTTAAAGCTCTTCCACCAAAACTAAATTTGCAGGCCTTCCTTTAAGCTTTGGTACAAGTGCTAGAAGAAAAGGATGAACCGCCTGAGTCGGCACGGCCCTCATCTTGCCATTTGTCCAGGCTTCTCCTTCGTGCGTTCATGAAGAAATTGCTAACTGTGCTCAGCTCCAGCCCCAACTGATGGGAAATGGTGATCTGTAATTCTTTGGAAGGACGTTTATTTTCCTTGAATATTGCATTGAGAGTTCGGCGCTGGACATCAGTAAAGACCAGTCTGGGTTTTTTGAGTGCATTTCCTCCGTCTTTCCCTTGATCTTGCTCCTTCCGTTTGCAAGCTGCAATATTATGAAGAAATCACTTTCAGACTTGGGGTAAATAAGAGAGAGGTTTTTTTTAATAACAATCTATTATATAATAAAAGGGTTTTTAATAAGGAAAGGCTGTAATTTTATAGCAGAATATTTACAATGCAGTCTTAAAGACAACCAAAAAACCATTGGAGTTCAGTGGAATTCATTTTTCCCCAGATAGGTGTATATTACTAATTTCCAAATTGTTTAGGATGTAAGTGACTGTGAATTGAATGGCTACAACGGTTAGGATGGATAGGCCGATCAATATTAAGTGTGGGGAAATGGATTAAAAGGGCTGCAGTGACACGTCGGCCAAAACAATGTGAACCCCACTTTGTGAGATTAAAACAGTTTTTAACACATTTGTTTTAGAAAAACCCAAAATCGTACACATATTACAAGTTTAAAATGTGCATATATTTTCCACTGCTTAACGCTAATTTTGCACTATTCCAGTTCAATAAGACCTGACATCAATCTTCAGATTCAGAAAACCATGAAAAGAAATCCTGAATTAGCACTCAGATGTTTCAAAGTTGGGCTGGTAGGAGGTAAGGATGAAGGGCTGAAGTCCTGGGACATTCTGGATCCTTGCTTCCCAAAGATTTCCTATTCTTAAGAAAGGTCAGGTCTCTTCTTTCAAAGTTAGAACCAAAACCATCATCTGGGAAAGATGACTCTGTCTCTGGATCCCAGGATGTTCTAAAAAGTTTTATACGACTCTTTGAATTGAAACTGCATTAATAGCTAAACCATGCTGATTGCTAAACCATGCTGATTTCTTGCTCGTTTTATTGCAGGGGCCCTGCCAGGCTATCTTCTGACCCCAGGTGAGATGCCTGCTGAAGGAGATGCGGGGAGGTTATGCTTTGTTTCGGATTGAGTTCCAATCCCACATCTCAAATTGAGCACTGTACATTTTGCATTTGTGTCAGCTCATTAAGAGAGAAGTGAAAGCTAACAGACAAACACAACCAGTTACACAACCAGATAGAACAATAAATTAGTGGAACGGCTTGCTTTCAGAAGTTGTGGGAAGGTTTTAAAAAACAAATTCGACAGCCATTTGTCTGAAATGTTAGAGGGTCTTCTGCTTGAGCAAGGGGTTGGATTAGACGACTTCCAAAGTCTCTTCCAACTCTGTTATTCTGCTAAACCATTTCCTACTTTTAAGGACAGGTTTATGTCCTGCGTACACCTACAGAAAAAGGCAAGAATTATCTCTTCCTGGCAGCAGCAACAAAGCCGAGCAGCTAACTTTAGAAAAAAAAAACATATTTATGGCCACGTTCTCTTAAAGGACAAATGTCATTTCCTATGGATGAATGACAGAAGACTTTGTTATGAGTACACCATTTGCATTTGAAATGAATCATAAATCTGATCTAATGTGAATTCCTTAGGAAAATCTGTTTGATATTCCAAAATAATTTTTAAAGGTTCTATCTAGTCAATAATCATTTCCACATCTTAAAAAAGGGGAAATGTGAATTCAATTATATTTTTTTGACGCAAGTATATCTACGTGCTAATAATAATAATAATAATCACAGTGGTAGACACCCTGGCCATGGTCAGAATGTAATCCTAATATAAATGTACTGATGTGCAATATTCCTCACTTTTTATGCAAGTAAGTGAAATAACTACTGTTAGGTTATTAAATCAAGTGGGCTCCCAATTTTCCATATTACTTGCAACCGCCAGATGGCACTTCATTTCTCAGAATGAGAAAGGAATGCAAGCCTCTAAAGATGAGCTTTGGAATGACCCTTATTATAGTGCCTGGCCAGTGAGCTGGAGCTGAAAATTACACAATTCAGCGGACTAGTCCGTCCGTGCTAATGAAATGACTGCAATATTGATGCCAGGAAAAGCAGAAATTAGTGTTTCCCCCAATAAAAAGCTTTCTCCTGCTTAAGTGAATGAGAGGGGTGGGTGGCCATAGCAAGAGCTGGCACCAGCAAGCATCCTCTTTTAGATATGGCCAAGGTTAGAACCAGTCCTCTCTTGGCTTAATCCCATTAGGTCCAAATTGACCATCCCTGCCACAACTGAGGCTCCCCTGCAATCCAAAGAATAAAAGCCTCCACACAGCCAAAGGCAGCCCCAGGAAGTGCTTGCAGTATAGTAACAAGCTCAGAAACCCCAGCCTTCCAACTTCCATCAGCTGACACCCTCCACCTCCATATCTCCTGCCCTCCTGAAAGACCCATTTTGCCTAACAGTAGGAGTAAACCCAGGCGCACAGACTTATGTATACAGGTGTCCACCCTGACCAGCCAATCAGATCCCTAGGATCTTCCACCTTGCAGCTTTCAACCTCTCAACCTTTGCTTTTTATTGTCAGGGTCCCTCTTTCATATAAAGCAGACTGAATAAAGAGCTGGCCATTTTTCCTCAGTGTTATGCTTCTCCGCTCTGAATCCATGAGGTTCGGGGCTTAACCTAACTGAAAGGAAAGGGTTAGTTGTTTCTTGCAAAAGGAAAGATCGGCAGAAATTATTTATAAATGAAGGCAAATCTACGTGTATTGGAGAATGTTGCAAGATCCAGTCTGGGTCAGTCACTGGGACCAGAGGTTTACTCTTCCAAGCTTTTCAGACTAATGCTGGAGCCCATCCTCAGGGAGCTTCTCTCTCACCAGAATGTGCAAATGTTTATCTCTTGGGCTGGGTTAGAATCCTGCAAGGAGGCCCCTCAGCAACCTAAAGCCAGAGAACCTTGAATGGGCAAAGAGCCTCAGTCCACGCATATTAACTCAAGGTTTCTCCACCAAGGTGAGAACACTTCCTGGAGCCAAGAAAACAAGGGCCTTTGTTTTAACAACAGTGGTGTCTCAATTATAGAGCGCCATGCAGGACTGTTTCTCAAATGAAGACTCTCTTTGATGGAAAGCTGCTTTTTTTTAGTAAGATAGGTTGGTGTCATACATGATGGTTTAAATGGCTGGACTTAAGAGCAGGAAGACCCAGGTTCAAATATTCCCCAAGCCAGGGAAATTGTAATTTTGGAGCAGTCCTTCTCCCCAGACTCCTTAACTGAGCCTGCCACGCAGGATGGTTATCTGGTAACCCAGCCGAGCTCCCGCATAAAAGGCAGGACATAAATTTAGTGGCTAATAAATACTAATACTGATAATTAGAATAAGTTAGAATTAGTACAACAAAATCAAATATAATTTACTTGATATTTATTTCTTGCATAATTTTCTTGGGTAAGGAGGCATTCTGTTTTTGAGCGCTAAAGACATGGAATATAGAGGAAATACTTTTCTTGGCCCATTTTAGGGATCTTGACTAGAGATATTTATCTGACCTTATCTAGTCAGCTCCAGAGGGGTTCTTACCAAGTAGCCATTCACGGGATCGAATACAAGACAATCCTGGTTGCTTTTTGTAAGAACAAATTTGGCCAAGAAACTAGCTGTGGCGGCGGGGTAAAAACAGGAGATCCAAGCTCTGCTAAATTCCGGACTTGACGAGCCAAAGAGAACGGAGCACCGCGAAACGCCCCAGGACGCACTTTCACTTGCAGGAGTTTCCACCGCTCGGCCGGGATGAATTCTTGAAGGCCACCGGCGCGAGCGGCAGGAACTCCAGACGAACTCGGTATAGACGCAAACGCAAGAAATCTGGCGAAGCTGCACTTAATTCTAAGAAAAAGCCTTTGTTTGAATAAGCACCACCACATCCACGGGGCTCTTCTGCGGGGGGGGGGAGGGGGGTTGGTTCTGAGCATTGCTCGCTGAGACAAATGCAGGAGAGAAAAGGGGAGTCTCTTTTGGGAAAAGCTTCTCTGCCTTCTCTTCCCCGAGCCACTGCAGCCACTTGGGCGCCAAAGGCTCATTTCGGGAGCCTTTGGACCGCCACCCGAGGAAAGGGCGGCGCGAGCTTCTTTAGAAGAAGCCAGCCGGCCCCCACTTGCTGGGGGGGCTTCACGGGGCGCCTTTCTCCGTTCTCTGCCCTTCACGACAGGAAACAGTCGCGAGAGAGCGCTTCCCTCTTCCCCTCCGACTAAGCAGGGTTGGGGCAGCCCAGCTCTGCCCTCGGCGGCGCCTCCCTTGGGAAAGTTGCCCTCCAGCGACAACGGGCCTTCCTCGCGCCCCAGTGGCCGCTCTCCTTAACAGGGGATGGGTCGGCGAAGGGACTTTGCGTGGTTTTCGCTGCTTCTCTGTGGACCAAAAGCTCCAACCAGCGGCAGCAGCCGAAAACAAGGGAGCCTTAGCAAGAGCCAAGGAAGTCCTGGCCGAGGAAGGCCGGCGTAGAGCAGCCCCGGGATCGGCTCATCTTCCTCTCCTCTCGGGAAAGGAGAGTTGCTCTCCAGGCCCACGAGGGACAAGCCGTCTTCCCGCCCCAAAAGCAGGAAAACCTCTTGCCGCCTCCTAAAATCTGAGCCCTGGCCTACACCGCTGTCGGCGTCCAGGACGTGGTTGACCTGCACGCCTCGAGGAAAGCCGTTCCGTCGACGCTTCGATCCCGCCAGCTCAATTGCCTCTGGCCGGGGGGGGCGGCGGGGGGGGGGGCTGAGCTTCACAAAGCTCAAGAGCTTCACTTACAGGGCAAATCCCCCCCCCGCTTTCTATTTCCCCGCTCCTCCAAAGCACATCACTTTTCAGATCCACTTACAGCCTTCCCACCCACCCAGACGCCCGGAGGCGACCCACAACCATTTGGGAAGGGCTTCTGTCCCTCCCGGGCAAATTAGAAGAGCTAAGCAAACGGTGCCGGATTTGACCGGGGGTCGGGTTGCAAGCCAACTCCCACCAGTTTCCTCCCGGTCTGGAAACGCTTCAGAAAGGCACAAGCGGCATTCAGTTTGGAGGCTGGTTCGTGTGCAAGGAGGCGCGGCCCTACAGGTCTGCAGCGAGGCCGGGAATCCCAGGGCGTCCCGCCGTCCCTGGCACCGGGCAGGATGAGGGAGGGGACTTCGTAGGCGGGCCCGCCCAGCATAGGACTTAGTTCCGATGGTTCCTGGAGGCCAGAGCCCCTTCCCTCTCTTCCCACCGGGCGCAGGAGAGGGAGCGTTGCCTCTTTTGCGAGGTTTCTACAAAGGGGATCCCAGGAAGACGGGTCTTGCCCCTCAGCCTGTGCCCACATCGCTGCCCCTCACCTGCCAATCGGAGCGCAGACATCCGCTGGAATTCGGGTTCCTGCAGCCACTTCCACATCCTGCGAAAGGTCTCCCGCCCGGATTTGAGCTTGCTCCAGGGTTTAGGATTCCTCAACAGGTCGGAAAGCGTCCCCTGCGAGCGGCAGAGGACTCTCTGGGCGAAGATGGCCTGCGGGATGCTGTAGCGCTTCAACTCGGTGGTGATCCGCTCGGCCACGTCCTTGGTGTTGATCTCTTCCGGCTGCCCTGAGTGGTTCCCGGCGCTTCCTTGCGAGGCGGCGGCGGGTTTGGGTTCCCCGGAGGAGGCTTGGATCTGCCCGTGCCCACGGGCGTTCAGGTGGCTGTGAGGTCGGTGATGGACCCCGCCAAGCGGAACTAGGCCGGCCGCAGTCTGGGTGAGATGCTGGTCGCCCGGCCGGGCTAAGAGGGGCGGGTGCTGGGCTTCGAAGCCGCTGGGGGTGAGCATTTTCTCGGCCGGCATGGCGACTCCGGCGTGGGCATAATGCGGCAGCCCCTGCTGGGTGGTGTGGAGTCCGCCCAGCGGGGAAAGGCTCTGCCCCAGGCCGGCCGCTTCTTTGGGGTACGGCGAGGGGTAGAGATTGTCGGAGAAGAGAGGAAAGTTGCCCGCCAGCCGGTCCTGCGCCTGCGGCTCTGACTGGGGATGGTGGGGAAACTTGGCCGAGACGGTGGCGATGGGCGGCAGGGGCGGCTGCAGAGGCGTCAGCGTCGCGTAGTTGCTGCTCCCGCTCAGCCCGGCGGGACTCTGGCAGCTCCCATTTAGCGCGGGGTGCAGCGGCCCGGCCAGCGGGGGTGCCGCGGAGCTCCGGGGATGTGCACGGGAGCGGTATTCCTCGCTGCCGCCGGCAACCAGGAGGGAGGCCAGGGCCATGGCGCCTGCGGGGGGAGCGAAGGGATGCCCGCCGCCCGCTTGCACGCCCGACGCGCAGTCCGGAGGCCCGGTGCTCCGGGGTTCGGTCGCGCGCGCCCCCGCCTCACGGCTGAGTCCCGGGAGCTTGCAGAGATGCGCCATCGCCAAGGACACCTTCGGGCGGGACGGGCGGGCAGTCGCGGGGGCCGCCCACGCATCGGGGCCGAGGACGCGCACTCTGCCGCTGTCCGAAGCAAAGCTGGAGCCGAGACTTGGCGAGGCGCAAACCCGGCAGCTCTGTCTTCGCAAGAGGCGCGGCGCAGCCCACGTGGCCGGCCTGGCCCTCCGCCGGAAGGCCCGCGGCCGCCCTAGAATGGTCCCCCGGCGGGGGCCCGACGCCTGCCCGGCCCTCCTCGCCTCAGGCGCCGCGCTCTTTCTGCGGAGGCTTCGGACGCGGAGCGCAGCCGGGGCTGGCGGGCATGCGCGCTGAGGCTCCCTCGACCCCGCCTCCCTTTCAGCCTC